AGCAGTAAAGAAGTTGTTACCAGAAACTGTGACAAAGTGTTTCGAAAAAGTAGGATTTTCTACGGTAGAAGTTACTCCTAGTGTAGAAAATGAGAATGACCAGAAGGACTTACAACATTGCATGAATGAAGCTGCTTTCAGTAACTGCAATGCTGAGGACTACATCAACATAGACAAAGATGTGCAAACAGAACCAGACACAATGGATATCAATGTATTAGTTGAGAATTTAGAGAAAATCGAAAAGGAAGAGAGGAGGAAGAGGAAAATAACATTGTGATAGAAGAAAAGTGTAGAGTGAAGACTTATCAGGATGCTGCCAACAGTTTAAAGGAACTGCAGGAGTTTGCGTGCAATGGAATGATTCAGATGTGCTTACTCCAATTTCTAAAGCTAAAGTGTTTGTGGAAAGTCAGGCAGCCAAGAGAGTAAACTGCGTGCAAAGAAACTCTGCCGGAGTTCTGGTAAAATTATAAAAAGTGAGTACTGAAATTTTTTCCTGTTCAGTGTAATGTTTGCATGTGTTCAATGATTATAGTGTGAATAAATTAATGAGCATGTCGTTTTGTTTTGTCTCAAATATGTTTATGTCCTGGTTTAGTTATTATAGTATACCTTGATTAAACGGAAACCTGGCTTAAGCGGGAATTTTTTCTGGTCCCTTGAGATTCCGTTTAAGACAGGTTTTACTGTACTTGTAGCAAAGTACCATCATCACAAACTTTTAGATCTTATTAGTATTCATAAATATTTAAATATAATCGGTTGCATGTTGCAAGAAAGTTTCACCAAGCAAGATGGTATAATGGTAACATTCTAGACTTGAATTTTGGATGTGCTCAGTTTGAATCTCGGCTGCTACACCAGCTGTGCCAACTGAGGTGTTCTGCAGCTTCAATCAGTTCCTCTAGGCAAATGTCATTAAGCCATTACCATTATTTCTGAAACCTTTCCCAATCTAAAGAGTTCTATCTTCTGGCTAATAACGCTGTGTAGTCCATTGAAATTCAACAGATGACTCCACCTTCAGGGTTGAAAAATAAACCAAGCAAAAAACCAGTGCGAAAGCAAGTAGCAAGCACAGCACTATGTTCCTCCAAAATGTCACTTGACTTTCAATGGACTACAAGGTGTAATATCGCAGAAGATAAAATTTCATAACCACTGTTGTAGGAATCTCAAGTTGGACTTCCAAATTCATCTTTCATCAGTCACCTTACCATTCACCTGAAAATGACAACACATAAAACTCCATGATTTTAGTCCACAAGTGAACTATGCCGACTGAGTGACTGCTGCTTGTTGGCGAAGTTTAGTGCCAACTTTTGTGGATAGAGGGTGTCGTGTGGTCAGCATAACGAATCCCCATGGCCGTTAATTTCGATTTTCTAGACCGGAGCCGCTATTTCCTTGAAATAGCTCCTCAATTATCATCACGAGGCTGAGTGGACCCTGTTCCAGACCCAGTACTTCTCTGAAAAAAATCTGATAGTGCCAGGAATCGAACCCAGACCTCTCGATCTGTAAGCAGGAACGCTGACCGCTACACCCCAGAGGCGGTCAATGACAACACATTAATAAACAAAATTTTATAATTTTATTAACAGCATGAACATTCTAAGAAAAAATATATAAATGATGCTGCCACTTACCTGTCTGTTATCAGTTATCATTTTCATAATCCTTTCAGTCATGAAGAATACCCAGATACCTGCCCACATCATCAACGACCGATTTAAGTAATGGTGGTATATGTCCGAGTTCATGAGACCAAATGCCTGAAAAAAATCTTTTCATTAATAATACACTGAATGATATATGAATATATGAACTAGCAATATGTACAATTTAATTCCATGATTCTTTTGAAAAATTGAATTACAGAATTACTGCAAATCAAATATGTTAGACAAAAATTTCTGGTTATTTCATCACTAATACTTTCTTCACTCACTTCATTTTGTCAGGAAAAAAAATTCGTCTTTTCATGCTATCCTGACATTTTAGGGATACACTAGGGGTGGACACATAGCTTTCTTCTCCAGTATAGTATGGCCTTGTGAGTATGAAAGTTACTTCAAAACTGTAGGGAAATGTGGCTTTTACCTCAATAAACAGTACATAGAGGTAACTTGCTAGAAAAACGTCCAACTTCATAAATGTACAAAGAAAAATAAGTAATCCTCTTTCCATTTTTGTGTGAAGGCACCATGTTGCAATGAACTGGTTTGTTGAAATTTCAGGGAACTTGGCCAATTCCTCTTAGTCTGGCCTGAAAGGTAACACTGCAGATAAATATGGGTGGTAAATATGGGGACAGAATTGTATAGTAAGGTGCCAAACAAAATAAAAAAAAAACTCAGTGGGTTTTTCAGCTTTTAAAAAAAGACTTAAAATCCTTTTTTACCGAAACATTCTTTTTATATGATAAATGAATTTGTTAGTTTTAATAAAAAAGTGGATGGTGCAAGTACTTATGTTTGGATGTCGTAGCCATTCATGAGCTGTATATTGTAGTTTTGTGTATTTTTTGGAATGTTGTATTTATATATTGCTTATGATTGTGACAAATGTTGGTAGTATGCTTGTGACTTTGTAGATTTGTTTTGTTAACTTGTACTGCTGAATGACTTGCCCAAGTGTTACTATGTAGCAAAATGGATGAAAATAAAATACAATACGCTACAATACTGAAGCAACAGAGAAAATCCAGATAATACAAAACCTACACACAATGCTGAAATTAGATAAATGTTCTTGGTCACTCTTCACTGTCTCTTTACTTCCCTTCAGAAGGAAACTGAGAAAACTGGTCTTGAAAAGCAACCTAAGTTTGTGTGAGATTTGAGATTTGATGTTCAGAGGTCTGGTAGAAATTTACCAACGTTTCGGAGGAATGTAGTGACTCCATCTTTAGTGTTGAAGAGTATGCCCAGCAAGCAGTAAAAAAGAAACAACTAAACAATGAATTTTACCATGCTCACATACATACACAAATTGTCAAGTATGAATTACCTACTAAACAGGTTACACACCTATCCAGTAAGGAAACAAGCAACAGAAACAGAATTAAACACCATTAAAAAGATTCTACATAACAACCAATATAGTAACATTCAAATAAAAAAATTCTGTCCCATAAAAACAAAAGATATGTACTGACATGAATCACAATACTTCATTCAGTGTGGTCAAAAGGCTGTGACAGTCAGCCAAGGAAAGGAGTAGACCCTGTATAAAAATTGATGGTTTTATAGCCCAAACTTCTTCTATCACCTCTGGGCATGTAAGACAATGGCTGTTGCCACAGCAATGACCAAGAGAAAAAAGTTACCTAAACAGGCATTTTCAGACAACTGAAGACAGGAGAAAAGACTGTTTGAAAAAGACACCACCTCTTGGCTATAAAATGGAAATAAATATGGGAAGTTCGCATTTTGAGTACTGCACACAATGATGAGAAGGTTCAGGCACTGGCATCTAGGACACAGGACCAAATAGAAAGCCTACCGTAGTTATGGACTGCAACAGATACAGTATTGATGTCAACAAATCTAATAAAATATTGGCATATTAACTGGCTCAGAGAAAATTAGTAAATTGGCGGAAGAAAGTTTTCTTCCACCTCTTAGATCTGTACGATGGGGTACCCAAAAGAAACCGAACTAATTTTTTTGTGGGCAGAGCTTTTGTAGTACCGCGTTTTGCCGCTATGAGCACATAGAGCTAACATTCCTGAGTCGACAAGCCGACTATCGTTGCTTCAGAAGGTAAGGACTAGTTTTGGCAGAGTTTATAGTGACAACTGTTTTGTGTGATCGTCGTTTTTGCAATGGCCCAAACACATGAAAATGTTGAAAAAATTCGTGAAATCATCAAGGAAGATCGACGATGGACCATTGAAGAAATTGTGGAGCTATCGGGAGTGACTTGGAGCTCAGTTCAGCGAATTTTGACAGAAGATTTGGGAATGAAAAGGGTGGCTGCGAAATTNATAAAAGACTAGACAAGTGTATTACTGTAAGTGGAGAGTACTTAGAAGGGGATTGAAGGTTTGTGCTTAAAATTTGAATAAATAAGTTTTAAAAAAAATAAGTTCGGTTTCTTTTGGGTACCCCCTCGTATGTGGTACATGCCTACATATTGAATGACAGAAAGGTCAGAAAAAACCTCACTACACCTGTTCTGTGAGACAGTTGCTAAGACCTACTAAGTGATGTAGGGCATGAAATTCAGGGACAAGCCCAGAAGCAGGAAGACTTACTTGAAGAGATCATGTACCGTGTATAATTCCAGCAACACATACCTAACTAAACTAACTCCATGAAGCTGAGCCCTACTTGAGAAGCCACCAATTGTGCAGTTACTCAAGAATTTCCCAACATTTTATGGAACCAAAAGGTTCATTACCGTTTTCACAAGAGCCCTCCACTGATCCCTAACCTTAGCCAAGTCAATCCAATGATAGAGTGGGTAATGTTCAGTCTAATGTGACATACAAGTTCACAACACTTCAATCCTCGTTCATCTAACATGTTTCGATTCAAAAGAATCATCTACAGAGGTGCACCACTACGATAAGGAAACACTGTCACAGAAGATATTTTAAACAATATGCATTTAAGCTATGAGCAATGCTCACTATATAAATTTTGATATTATCGTGATTGGTATTGATGTTTGTCTTGGGCACTCACAATGGCTCTTCTTGAAGTGTAGATTTACTTATGATGACGTTTCTTTTAAGTGTAACTGCTGGTTATTCTGACTGGGGTTTTTGCACTGCACACAATATGAAGTTCACTTTTCCATACAGTTGTCTCCCAATGCGTTTAAAATTGTATTAAAATTTCTATGTAAAAATTAGTTATTATGTTAAAATATCTTGAGTCGACATTGGGTCTTGTTGTTTTCCTCCTGATGGTGGGAGATGTCGTTTATTTCTCTTGATTTTATGTTCTTATTATTAGTAGTGTAGTTTACGTGCGTGCTGTGTCATTTGTATAAACGACATTTATCGTGCAATGCACGACGGAGCTTGTGCAGTATCTGGACATAACGAGCAGCATTGATGGTTTGCCCTGGTTCCAGGAATTCGGCCAGAATAAATTCCTCTGCATCCCCGAAGACTGTGCCCATCACCTTCACAGCTGATGGCACTGTCTTCGCCTTTCTTTTTGGATGGAGAATGCAAATGGTGCCATTTCAACCTCTGCCGTTTCGTTTCAGGCTCAAAATGGTGAAACCAACTTTCATCACCTGTCACAATACAGAGCAGAGATATCGTGTCGATATCTCTGCAGCAATTCCGAGGTGATGGCTTTTCGCTAACCTTTGTGGTCTTTGGTCAATAACCGCGGGACCCAACGAGCACAAACTTTCCTATGGCCCAAGCTTTCAATCATCTCCTGTACTGCACTGTGCCCTATTCCAAGTTTTCAGGCTATTGTGTCCACAGTCACACGCCTGTCATCTTGAACGATCTCATCCACTCTTTCCTTGTTGCGTTCAGTTGAGGCTGTTCGAGGACGACCGCTCCGAGGCTCACCTTTGATGCTGGTGTTCCCATCTTTAAAACGTTTCACCCATCTTCGAACACTGCTAGCACCCATGCACACACTTCCGTAAGCACACTGAAGTCTCTGGTGAATTTCTGCAGCAGGGATTTCCTCTTTCACAAGAAATTCGATGACAGCACACTGGCAAAACAACATAACGTTGTTGGCCATTTTGTTAGGAGTGATACTGGTCATGTGATGCAAGCTATTGACGTCACAAGACACTCAAGGTTAACACAACAGATCGTTCCACCTACCACCGCACCCTCTTTCATCTGCTGTTCCCAGGTTGCATGCAAAAAAAAAGTTGTTCATAACTTTCGGTACAACCTACGTACTTGTTTGGGGGGTATCTGTATATGTAAGCAGCCTGTACATATATCATCATAAGAAAATCTAATATACATAAGTACATATACTTAATAACCTAATAACAAGTTTAATAACAACACACTCACAAGCTTGTCCTTATAATAATTAAAAAAACATTACAGATCACTCCAAATAAACAATCTGTTGAAGCTCAACAAGACGATGGTAAGGTCAAGACCACACAACCTAACTTATGTGAGAAGATCCTGATACGCAGGCGCTCCACACTATAGTCACTTCTACCACCAGAAAACCATGTCAACTAGTAGCGGTCACAAAGTTTTAAAGAAATTTAACATTAAGTATTTGAGTTCCATTTCAGTACAATTTTAATTTTTATGTTTTAATCTTTAGTCTCTAATTTTTAAATTTTATTATCTGAGTATTTTAAAAATTTAACTGAAAGACTAAATTTATGCATTTAAAAACACTCAAGTGCACAATAAGGATCCTTATTGAAGAATTACATGCAAACTGTTAGATGCAACTCAACAAATGAGTCTGGTATCATTGTACACCTGATGATGACCCAGTATAAGGGTAGAAACATGTAGCATCAATAAAAACAAATGTTAATACGATAGTGTCTACTTTGTTTTAAATACAGAATATTGTTGTGTAGACTGCATACCTTTGTGTACATTTTATGTACCTTGTTTATAACACACAACAGGATGCATCCTATTAAGAGGAAAAGATACAAAGAACCTTCTGACTTCTGAACCTTCTGTATCGCCAGAAGTGTGACATGGGGCTCTGTTTAGATAAATATCACTAAAAAATAAATCACTGTAAGTGATTCTGTCAGTAATCTTATTTCACCTGATGAAGAGGCAACTGTGTTTACAGTACATAAGTTATTTTATCTTCACTTGTGGACGTTATTCTGCTGTATCAGCCTCAAAATTTATAATTGCAGAATCTCCTAACAACTAATTATAAGTAGTCTATTTTTTTGCAGGATGCTTGGAAAAGGTTTACACTCATATTCTTATCAATACAAATTTCTTGCTTTTACATAAAAAACTATGCAAGTTATTAATTTCTTTAACTTTACTCACAGAGGATTTAATGACTTAAATACCTATTTCAAATGTTACTCACCTGTGGGATCAGATGAAAGAGCGAACTTGCTGCAAGAGAGCCAACAGCAAGGCCAATCAGAGCAGTAAGCAGCTGCTTGTAGAAGACCTTATCCATGAGAGGCAATACACTGACACCCAGCAGAGAGCACAGACTGATTATTGTAACGAAGAGGAAACCCAGTCCCCACACTGGGAACAAAAGACAGATCATGTGTTACAACCTTTATTAAGGGTTGGTAAATATCATAAACCGGTCACGGTAGCCGAGCGGTCTAAGGCATGTACTGTCTTTGCTCGCTTGGAAACCGGGATCATGGGTTCGAATTCCACTCAGGGCATGGATGTTTAGTTTGTGTGTGTGCGTTTTACTGTGTTTGTGTACAGGTAGAGGCCTTGCAACGAGCTGATCACCCACCCAAGGAGTCCTACCGAATGTGTAAGATCTAGAAAAATGGAAGTGAATGGAGAAGTTCATGGAGGTAGGCCTAGGCCCACTGGGCCTGTAGTACCAAGAAAAAAAAAATTTCATAAATCATCTTACGGGTTTCCACCATCATCTCTACCATTTCCAGTTTTGAACAGCCAGTGCTTAAAAACACTTTCCCAACAAAGTTTACTTTATGATATATTCCAGTCATTTTATGTGTTTTCAAGATTCAGATTTTGATGACCTGAAAATATTTAAAAAATGACCTATAAAATGACCGAAAAAATCCAGAAAAATGACCTAAAATATGACCCAAAAATGTCATATGCAGGGTCCATATTTTGATGACCTGAAAATATTTAAAAAATGACCTATAAAATGACCGAAAAAATCCTGAAAAATGACGTAAAGGAGAAGGAGAAAGAACACTTTACTTCCATATTATTCATATTTCAGAAAACATATGAAGAAAAATTGCCTAAAATGGCCAAAAATGACAAGAAATATCCTTAAAAGTCCAAAAATTTACCATAAAATTACCCCCAAAATGAAAAAAATGACCTTAAACCTAAAAATGTCCAAAAATGACAAAAAAATACCTATAAAATTTAAATTTCTGTAACCAGCAGCTCATATCCAAGATTTATATATTTAAGAGCATCGCATAGGATACAAGGAAAAAAAAGATGACATGTCATCAAAATCCAGGCCCTGTATATATTCCTGATTATCATGATGATAAGTGATACTGTAATAACCAGTCCAAGAATTCTAGTGTGGACCTATACACCAGTAACCAGTTGCTATGAAAATAAAGGAGGTTTACTGTTGTTTCCATTACTGATTCTTGGTTCATTTACTTTTTATCCCAGTATAAGCTAAAAGTATGGTAAGATAGCTGTGAATGATGAATGAAGAAGGATCTGGAATGAAGCAGTCATCATCTGTTTGAGGTGCTATCCCGATATTTTACCAGTGTGACTGAGGATAACCAAAAAATAAAAGTAAGGATAGAAGATGTGTGGGTTGAGATTCAAATCTAGAATTTCTAACATACAAAGCAACAATTCTAACCACTATACCACAGTGTTTGGTCAAATCATGCTAAATGAAGCAATTCTGTGTAAAATGTTACATAATCTTAAGACTGTTCTTATTGGATAGGCCACTATATAGGAGGCCACACCTGTTGCTGATTACACTACCTACAATCACAAGTGTTTAGTTAACAAGTCTGTTTGTTTCACTATCACTCTGAACATACAATTATTACTTTTTGTAGCACATGTATTATATTTCAATATGTGAAGGGGAGAGATATTCAACATGCTTGATACTATTTGGAAAAGAGGGATGGTTAAATCTTTTGTTGCATATCCTTTAAATGAGCTATAATCTTCATTGTTACTCTGAAAAAATACGTGAGCCAGCCATGTGTTAGCCTGTAGTCATCTGTCTTGACAGAATTCATATATAAACGTGAATATTTCATTCCTATCAATGAAAATATATTGTCATGTGTAGGGGGGTACGCGTGATGAAAATACTGGGTCCTAGATCAGATAATTGGATTTATCCACATTTCGGCTACAAGTTCTCTTAATCATACTAGGATTCTCTTTCCTCACTAGTCGTCTCCTGGCAATTGATCTCAACACAGAAACTAGCACGTCAGATCAATATAAAGTCTTCTTGTTATTTCATCAATCACTCTGTACTCATTTGTCCTAAACTGTACTAAACTAATCTTCGGCCACGCCATAGCTCAAGTGGTTAGTCGCTGGCCCAGGTTCAATTCCAGGTCTGGTCAAGTGGGATTTGTGGTGGACAAAGTGATGCTGGGGCGGGTTTTCTCCGAGTACTTCGGTTTCCCCAGCCAATCTTCATTCCACCAAATTCTCCATCATCATAATCACCTGGGGCAGCTACAATAGGCCAATCAGTGGCTGCTGTGCCTAGTGGACCCAGTTGGACTCCACCCCCACTAAGTGAATTTAAAAAAAACTAATCTTCACAATTCACTAAGGATATGCTCCATTCTTGTCCTGGTACTCTCAACTGCAAACTAATCTAAGCTACAAAAGGTCCTCATTACATAGGTTCGGCATAGATCACACAGAAAACACAAGTCACGTGATTGCAACCCAGAAAGTTCATCAGCACACTATCTGCTGCCTAGCAACGAGCTATAACATTCGTTCACTAAGACACAGTTTCAATTGTTGCATGGTGGAACATGTATACAGAGCCGTTGCCTAGCAATACTTTGAGCAAATCCATTACAATATTTTGTATCAAGTAGAATAATTTCTTGTACTTCTCCTTTCCATGACTGTCTCAAAATAAAATAAAATAAAATAAAATAAACTTGTTAAATCAGAGCAGCTCCATCCAAACACTGGAAGGGTTACAAATGATCTCGTAATTAAGGGAACAGCATGAATACCCACAAACACTGAAGTGACGGAAAAGATTGTGGTCTTCTGGGTTGTGACACCATGCAGTCTTGCAGACCAATACTGATATTTTGGAAGCTGGAAGCAGCATGTTTTTTGGAAACATCAGTATCTGCCTAAAGGACTGCATGCTGTCACAAGCCATATGACCACAATCTCAGAGCATGAATACATGCATATTTGCACAAACACACAATGCACACTAAGCTGTGGTCCACTAAATTCATATGAGATATGATTATTAGAGGTGGAAGATATTCTCAACAATGGTGCCAACTGTCCTTCAGTAAATTAAAATTACCTTACAATGTAAATATAGGGGCACATGGTAGCATAGTTCGTTGAGGCACTGTGCTACAAGCTGGAAGATTGTGGGTTCAATTCTTGATCAGGCCATTGTTTTTTTTTTCAATTTACCTAATCCTTCCAGCCACAACAATGCCATGGAGTTGACTCAGCCTCTAACAGAAATGAGTACCAGGAATCTTCCTGGGGGGGTAAAGGGTGGCCTGCACAGAAGGCTGACAACCTTACTGCCATCTGTGAGCTGACTGTCTAGAAAATGTGGAAGCCTTGATGTCTCACAACCCTAGTGCCTTCGTGGACTTTTACAGGGATAACTTTTTTTTACAATGTAAATATGCAAAAATAAATTAATTCAATTGCTTCACACACATAATTTTAACATTCAGAATGCTGTACATATATACAAATATAAGAAGTGTAATTATCAGATACAACAGTCAGCTTTCACGGATATACAACACCCCCCCTCCCTAACATAACTTCGCCTTTCCTTCCCTTCATGGACATTACAAATGTTGTCAACAATGTTATAAAAAGTTAAAGTTGTCCTTGTGCTTAACAAATTAAGCACTACGCCATGAAGGCGTGTTGATTATATTTGTTTTAGATTTCAGCATCTCCTATGGTACTTCTCTTATGTCTCACAACACAAATAATTGTTATCTGGAGGCTATTCTAGATGTGCTCTCTTAGTTATATGACATTTTACAGCTAACGTGGCAAAAAACAATGGAGCATTACACATTAATCATCCTCTGAATGACAAGTTTAATTTAGAGAATAAATGCCTTATTGATTAACATGTTTCCATAATCTTCCCAAATCTTCATTGATGAAAACCACAAATACTCAGCTAGAACTAACAAGAGATTGCAGGAAAATTTAATTATGTGAATAGTAACAATCTTCCTTTCCAGTTCTTCATCAGTCATCCTACGATATGACGATACAAAATCTAGATATTGATGGTATCATAAAGTAAACCATCAAAAGATGTTCACATTAGAATTTGTTGGTTGCTTTTAAGAAAGAAATCTTGTTAATAACATGGAAGGAGTTAGTGAATAACGAGAACTACTAATACAGTTTCCAGAATGCAAGAAGATATTGTGCATGCATATGTAATACATGTGTGTTCGTGTGCAAATGCAACAGAGCATGAATACAAAAACATCTGAGAGTAAGTGAATATATTGTCATGTGTATGAGTAACTATAGAAGGGGTTTTGATTGGTGGAAAAGAAGAATCCTCTCACAAGCCACACAGAATCAACCAATGGACTACAAGCAGCCTTCATGCTACCAGTTAGACAGCCCTGATTCAAGAAAAGAAGACTATAATCATTAATTTTATTCATGCTGTGGCATGCCGCCGCAAAGGCCAGACTGTAGACGCCCATTGCTGGTCAATGGCTAGTAATTCCTAGGCAATGAAACATAAACAGACCATTGCCTAGGGAAGTGCTTAAGCAACAGAGACCGAATTGTTGAGTTCCCAAACAATGAACAGATCTCGCTAACAAAAAGTCTAGCTAATAGACCAGGACCATTCAGATTCAACGAGCGATAAGGGAAGAACCGAGAACAAAGGCTCCACCGAGCATAGCGGCGGAAGGGTATAGCCACTGAAGTGGGAACGTGAGAGGCGTTACTGAGAGTGATTATATTTGTAAGTGTAAACAAATAACTGTCCAATAAACATTTGTTTAATCCGAACCCATCGTTTCTTGTCGCGTTACCCAAGAAACACACAACAATACTTAATGAGAACACCTTCAGTGTGAAGGAAACGAAAGCTCCATAGACAAGAATGTTCCGAGTGCCAGTAGTTAAATATTAACCACTTTTGGTATTGTATAAAAATAAATAATACCTTCAGTTTCAGATGGCTTAGTTTTCAAGTCAGCATTGTCTGGACCAAGTTGTTCTCTGCTGCAGACTTGACTCTCTAAGTGTTCCAAGATCACAGGACAGGCAAGTTCAAATGAAGTAATGTTCAGTTTCCCATCTTTTATATTCAGCTTCCTAAACAGGTCTACTGCTGACAGACATGTCTAAAGAAAAAACAAAGAGAAACATTCATTTCATAAATAAAAATGAAATTATAAACACAATCTAATGAACTGCTGAATGTGTTAGTTACATTCCTGTAAAATATTGCATTCACCATAACATAAAATTTAAAAATTAACAGGGAAATGCCAGGAGAGCACCCCAAATTGGTCATGACTGCTTCCTTCCAAATCTTTCCAATTCATCATTTGTCAATCATTTTACCTTTCAGGAACATCATATAATCTAGATACTGTCAATGTTGTAAACCAGACCACTTAGAAGTGAGAGAATTTGGAACAGGTGCACTTCATAATGTAACTAAGTATATAAAATTTCCATTTGGTATTCCTTACAATTAATTAAGCTTCTTTTGTGCCATGTTTATAACATTCTTGGAAAATTAGTAATGTTTTCAATATCAAAAAATTTTGTACCAGTACCTACTGTACATTCCGAATGATACTACACAACAGACAAAAACAAATGGCTTTTGTTCGGACAGATATATTGCAGAAAATATATCTGAATTCTGAGTTTCCAAATCTTCAAATCTGATGAACTTGGATCAATATACACTACCTGTCAGTTTGTACCTTTACAACTTTTCAGTATAAATCCAGTATCAAGCAAATTAGACTCAAATACTAATGAATAACCAGAACACATTTTAGTCTGCATATCACAATTAACTCCATGTAGCTATTGTATATTAAACTGAGCAAAGAACATATATAGCAGTTAGGTGAAATATGCTATAGCCTAAAACAAATCAAGACCCCTACAGTTTATATGATCCTCAACCAATACATCTTGTACTAAATACAGTGTCACAACATGTATGAACCTGCTACGTGCAAGTTTCTAAACAATTATACTGCTCCAAAGTTTTCCATATATCTGCCATCTTTACAATTAACCCTCTCTTGATAACAGTGAGCATGCCTGTAACCTCAGATTTTACATTATTGTTCAAGTTTTTAAATGATTATACTGCTCCAGAGTTGTACATATATCTGCCATCTTTACAATTAAACTCTTGATCATATTCAGCAAGCCTGTAAACTCAGATATTACATTATTACTTCACACAAATACATAATTATCTTACATTATTTCACTTTAATATTAAGTTAGGTACTGAAGCCAGCTTGTGGAAGGAACACTGTTCCCATATCAGTGACTGAAATATTAACGAGCTGATTAATTATCCAATAGATGTCACTAGCATATTCACAAAAAAATAAATTTTGAATGGCAAAGCAGAGAATTAAAACTTGATTTTCAAGTATGTAGGCTGAGAGAGGGTTAATTAAAAATGTTCACTGTCAGTTATTCACTTTAATCACATCAATGCTGAGGTTATAAAGTGTAAAACAATTTATATAATATACATATTATTAATGAAAAATGATTTTACATCTGTATCAGTGTGTTGTACAGCCACTTCTCAATTTATGTGGTAGTTGCTTTCTTGAAAATTGGAGTGTAAATTAAAAACAAGTAAATCAATTATAATTTTTCCCTAATAAGTAAATGTTATGGGTTTGGGGTAATGTTGTCTCAGTACTCATTTGAAGATCTTTTCCTTTCAGTGTTTTTATTTTAAACTGTGCTTTGACTATTTTACTTGTTACTGATTACAAATAAAGATATATATAAAAACATATATCAAATAAAAAAACAAGCTTTAAATTAAACATTTTGCTAACACTAAGTTGAACCCTGCCTGAGGTGGACTGATTCTGGTGGTGGTGGTGGTAGTGGAAGTTACTGGGGAAGGGGGTCATCTGAGTCAGATTACGATGGAGAGAAGATGTGAAGTTGCCTCCTCACTTAAGGGCAGCTGTTTGACTTTGGAGATGCAGCAGGTAGTGTGTCTGCCAAGCTGTTTAATGCTTTCCTTTCCAGATCATGTAATTAAAAAAAAAGAAGCATAAATTAAAAAATGATGCTCATATGACAATTGCATAATTACAGAATTGTGTAAATAAAATCTGAGTTAAGTCAAGAAGTGGCTGTACTGAAAAATTATATATCTGTATGGTGAACCATGACAAATGCAATCGAGTGTCATTTAACTATGTGTTTCTTTTGTAATACAAAGTGCCAAATAACAGAATTTACATTGTTCATATGGCTGCAGTCTTCATTAGATGCGCAGTTTCTTCGCACAGAATTGGCAGTGTCTACATTATTACTGTCAGATGAACAATTGTGAATTCGGTCAAGGATATGTTGCATCTGCTCAATGGTTATAATCCCCGTAGAATCAGAATACTTTTGAATAAGGAGGGTGATAGATTCTGTTCCACCTGCTGCTGAACAAATTCCCAGTTGCCAACCCCAGTGGATGACCATGATAGTGAATAACCAGGAAGCCATCTATAAAAAAATGAAGAAAACAACTATATAATAACATAAGAACTAAGCCAGTAAATAAAGAAAGTAAATGCACTCATATTTTATATTCATAATATTGTAATGTGTTTGGAGTAGATACTTCCATGGCAACGCAATAAGAGTGGGCCACTGTGTAGACAATGCCAAAACAACAAACGCGTCCCTCCCCCCCGAGATGAACAACAGAATGCCGTTGAGTACCAACGGATGAGACGAAACACGTTACCGCCATAATCTATAGAGATCGTTCCCGAAGCAACGGATTGCCAAAGAAGTGAGATCAAACCTTGGTGAATGGTGTCTCGTATCCGGCCCGCAGAACACCTACATAAGCCAAGAGCGACAGAGCTACAACAGCACAGAGCTAATTAGACATCCTACGACAACAGTTGAGATCTAGCCTTTATAGAGCAAAGTTGGAACCCGTCCTTTATACAGCACAGTTGGAACCCATCCTTCATACAGCACAGTTGGAACCCAGTCGAGACGTTGCAGAAGCCATGTGATACCACAAGCGATAATACTTGTATGGTGTATAAGTGTGAGTGTCCAATAAAGATTCGCTGAATCCGAGACCCATGTGAATTTATTTGTCGCGTGACATACCCAACACGTGACAATATGTTCATAATAACCATAAGGTTATTATTTAACAATACTTTATCAGTTACAGTGAATCTCAGATGAGACCGATGTGTTCCTGACTAGAAAATTGAAAGGCATTTTGTAGAAAGCAGCTGTAACCTATTTAAAGTTATTACACCAATGTTTCCTTTGAGGGACCGAAATGGAAAAACAAACAAACAAACAAACAAACCCCAGAAAAAATCCAGTTATGAAAGCTAGTTCCTTAACCAAGATTCAAACTGGGTACCTTCAAAATAAAATTCACACCATTTACACTGCTGTAAGTTCTTTTCTTGTGCTCTCTCTTTTTGTTTAAGACATTTCTACAAATTAAAATACTTTATTAAAACTAATACAGTTACATGCAATGAAATAAAATAAAATAACTATAAAAATAAACAATGTTAACAACTATATACAGTAATTAGAATAAACAAAATATAATTGAAATAATTTCTTCATGATTTTCAATGGATTTGAGTTATTTATATGTTCCTTCTTGCCTTCTTGAATGTGACATTATGATTGAGTTTTTCTCTTTAGAGCATGTTGTGTATTTCTTATCCTGTGGAAGTTTGTTTTTGCATTATTCTTCTTCCTGGTTTCAGTGTGTCCACATTGAAACCATGCCTTCAAATAACCCACAAACCCACTTTCCACGAAGTTTTTCCACAAAATATTTGCATGGATTTCTTGTTTCTATCATTCAAGTTAGGCTTCATTTTAATGCTCCAACGATACTGGATAGGCTGCATAACGATATTCAATTTCTCCCCCCCCCCTTCTCTGCCACACTCCGTCTTGGATAGGAGAAAAATATTTGTTACTTCCGAAGTCAGTATCTGAGGTGCACTCTAATTAAAGAAAATTATGGCCCACAGCCATTCCTGAGACTATAAAAAGGTACATCTAGGTTCAAAACTACTCACTGGCATTTACTAAGAAACTGCAGAGAAGAAAAAAGGGCCAGATGACACTAGCAAAGACTAACAACCCATAAACAAGAAAATGTCACCTTACATTTGAAGAGAATTTTCCAGATTCTCTTTAAAAATTACATGAGTACAGGCCAGAAAGTTTTTTTGGCATACTTCATATAATTTGTATGAGGGAGAGTCAGTAAATAGGTCCAAAATGGAAGTAAAACAGCTGTAATGGAAGTAATAGGAATTCTATGAGTATCACTATGTAGGAGCACATTGCAGCTTCATGACATCATGACAGTCTAGGTAGCTGACGCGCATGCGCATGTTCAGGAGCTAGTTTCAGTTGTCAAAATGACGAATGTGCTTGAGGTGTATCCTACCGAAGAACAAAAATGAAGACTGTGCTTGAGGAGTATATTACCGAAGAGCAGAGTTCTGTTGTGCATTCTTTATGGGAAAATGGACTCACTGCAAAGGATATTCATAAATAAATGTTTCCTGCTTTTGGTGGGAAGTGTTTGTTGCGTAAAGCGGTTCACAATTAGGCCGAGAAGTTATCCCAAAGACGTTCAAAAGTCACAGATGATGCCCGACCGCGTCGCCCTGTTGACATCACGAAAGAAGCAACTGTGCAGTGGGTGGAAGAGTCGATTAAAGCTGACAGGAGGATAATGATAACAGCGTAGCAACTACACTAGGATGTTCCCATGGTTTAGCATACGGGATAACGCATGATCATTTGAAGTTTCGGAAAGTGTGCACATGATTAGTGCCCAGAGAACTGAAGAATATATGTCCTTGAAAGATCTCTTACAGTATGCAGATGAAGGAGAAGATACGCTTAAAGGGATTTTTATTCGTACTCAGGATGAATCATGGGTGCATCACACCAACCAGAATCAAAGCGAGCTTCAATGCAATGGAAACATCCCAGTTCATCTTCAACCTAAGAGTTTAGGGCTACGCCATCAGCTGGGAAGGCTATGGTTACCGTTTTTCTTTTTTATTCTCAGGGAGTACTGTTAACCCATTTTCAGAATCGTGGTGAAAATATGATTTCTGCAACGTACTGTGAAGTTCTGTTGAAGCTGCGGGATGTAACTCGCAGAAAACGTCTAGGCCAATTAGCACGAGGGGTACTGCTTCATCATGACAATGTCAGACCCTGTATTGCCCGAGCAACCCAGGAGAGAATTCAAGAATTACAGTGGGAACTTCTTGAACATCCGCCTTAGAGCACGGACTTGGCCACTACAGACTTCCTTCTCTTTAGTCCGTAAAAAGAAACACCTTGGTGGCAAACGTTTCGCTGACGAAGAGGTCGAAACGGAGGCGTGGAAGTGGCTGAGGCAACAGTCAAAAGACTTCAATGCTGAGGATTTCGACGTACTGGTAATGCGATGAGACAACAGTACCAATGTTGGCGGAGGATATGTCGAGAAATGTTTTTCCCAGGTTCGAATATCACAAGTTTAACGTTTTATATTCATTTGTGACCTATTTACCTATTTACCGACCCTCCCTCGTAGATCAAACACCAAACAGTGACTCTGCATGTAGGCGTACAAGGACAATTCATTAATCATGGTTGATGATGTTCTATGTTGTTTCGCGCCAACTGGTGATCACTACTTGCACGAGCCATTACAACATGGCGATTCAACTGGAGCAGTGGTCGAACGAAGTTAGTGGTTATTTCCTGGCTGTACATCGGCGGCAGAAATTCATCTCCAGTTAATTAGATGCATGTTCTCGATCGCGACAGTTTCGTGACGCAAGAATGAGTATGCATAAACATGATGGAAACGGAAGGTTTAATTAAGACTGCAACCATTGACATTAGTGGACAGATGAATCCTTGACAAGAGGATAACTGCGCAAGAACTGGAAAATGATGAAGAGTTCATATGAAACGGCGGGTAACATCAAGAATTAAAGTTTCACAAAGTGTGTGTGTGAATGTTGCGTCTGCAGAATACTAAGTGAAGTCCAAGGCATGGGAGGATACCTTGCCTATCGATTCTTCAACGATGTGACGCTGACCGACGAGAGTTTCTCGAACCGTTTCTCAGAGTTGAGAGAACGTACGTTCACCATCAAATTCCCAAGACAAGGTATGAACACATGAAATTGAAACACCATACTCTCGATAAATGAATTTAGAGATTCATAAGTCTGCTGTAAAAAGTAGTGGGACTGCAGTGTGGTGTTGGTCATAAACATTACAGGAAGAATAGCTGATCCGCAAGAACAATATAAAAACCGCATAGAAAACGTTGATTTAAACGTCCCATTACTTCACCCCACTGTCTGCGACCTTATTATGCCATTGCAACTCATCGAATACATAACCACATATTTGTAGTTTGAAAATATAAAAAACGCGATCACACATCAACATGATTTAACACTTCAATTACACTCTCATACCACAAGCACAAACTGATATGAACCATCCTTATTCAAGATCGCGAATGACGCCGAAACAAAAGGGTTAACATAACTTGGCTGGAACTTCAAGTATCAGTCGCTCGTCGAGAATCGTACTTATTATTCCTGGGCATTCTTAATTGGTAAAGACCTGATAAATAGTCTCCTGAAGTACTGCCATAATTATGTATAAGCCTTGTAAACGTATTTCAGAAAGTCTTTCTTATTTACTTATCTGTAAAACAACTAGACGTACGGTAACTGCAGGCCTTAGGTAATAACTTCAAATATGAAACTATGGACGAAAAAGCCTGCGTCAACGTGTAAATAACCATGATCCCCTCCCCGTTAAGGCGTGTTTTCAAGAATGCTGCATGTGTGGCGAATCAAAATCCTTGATTAAGACCACCCTTTCAAATGAATTGGTTACGGTGACACTACCCTGAGGCTACTGAGGCCACATGGCCATGACTTCACTTCACTCCGCCTTGGACTTCGCGTCGTGGGCTTTCGTGACAGAAGCCTGTGGAAAACAGCATTTTTTATGCTGAAGATTCGGAATTACATGACATAATGCTTAGCAGCATTCGAAAAGAACGGTATTGCCGTTGGAGATCTGTAATGTTATGAAACATATACAGAGCACATGTGAAAATACTTTAGAACATACAGGGCCTTACTTACTTACTTAGTCATGGAGCTGAGCCCTTCTGGAGGAGCCGCCAATTCTGCAGCTACTCAAGAATTTCCCAGCATTTTATGAAACCCGAAGGTTCATTAGCGTGTTCAAAAGAGCCCTCCACTGGTCCCTATCCTGAGCCAGACCAATCCAATCAATACCATCCCATCATATTTCTCTATGATCCATTTTAGTATTGTTCACCCACCCACGCCTTGGTCTTCCCAGTGGTCTCTTTCTCTTTCCATCGGGCTTTCCCACCAACATCCTATATGCATTCCTCTTCTCCATCATTTGTGCTACCTGCCCTGCCCACCTCA